AGATTTTCTTCTTCCAACAAAAACAAGTATTTTAAGTATTTTTGGGGGCTTTTATTGCCTTAACTTGATAGTGACAGCTGAAGATAGACAGGAAAGGGGGGCAGAGAGAGGGGATGACACGCAGCAAAGGGCCGCTGCAGCAAGGACTCAGCCACGGTACATAGGCCGCCAGCTCTACCAGCTGAGCTAACCGGGCAACCCTACTGTATATTTTTTAACTGTATATACACCACAGATCTTGTACAGACTGAATTATCTGGTCAACAGAGACAGTTTCTCTAACAGGAGACAGGGACAGAGACAGAGTCCTCCTACTGAGGACACAGAGACACTGAGGAACCAGACCTGGACCAGAACCCGAACCCAGGATAAAGAGGTTCAGTGAATGTGGTGTTGAAGGTGTGGAGGTGGATCAGTGTGTCAGAGGAGTCTGCGTAGAAGGACAGAGTGCCAGCAGGACAGTCCACATACACTGCTACTCTACCAGAGGAGGAGGAGGTCATGGAGGAGGAAGGGGGGAGAGGGACTGGTGTGCCTTTGTTATTGTGCCAGACAGAGTAATGCCCATCAGAGCAGCTCAGACTCCAGGACTGATCGTTCCATCCAAACACAGCTCCCTCTCCTCTCCTGCTGATTCGTTTGTAACTCACTGATATATGAATCTTTCCGCTACACTCGACCTCCCAGTAGCAGCGACCAGTCAGACCATTTGTACACAGCAGCTGTTCCCAGTAGTCAAATCTGTCTGGATGATCAGGATATGACTGATCCTCCTCCACAGAAATCATCTCCCTGTTGTTGTCAGACAGTTTGATGTTTCTGTTCACTGTGTTTGTGTCGACTGTGAGTTCACAGGAATTTGATGGAGAGAACAAGACACAATACAGCTGCAATTATTGATCTATCATCTGATCATTGATTGACACTTTGATGATGACATCAGAGCTGTGAATGAGTGATGTCACAGTGTGAAGATGGTTGAATGTGTGCTGCTTTGTTTTCACACTTACACTTCCTCAGACCTGGTCTCAACCATCGGACTCCAGCAGGCTCCACCCTGAAAGGAGGAGGGGGGTCAGACCAGCATGGAAACATGGACATTACATCGCTCACATACACAGAGGTTATTCTCTACAAATGGACTTACATCTTCACATGGAGCACTTATTATTAATCAGCTGATTTCAGAGAAAGTAGCATGAAATTGCAGCAGAGCCACAAAACCTCTTGTGGAAGAGGTCAGATAAAGAGCAATTTCTTTTTTTTTTTTTTCATTTTCTCTTTATTTAGAATCACATATCAGCACTTAACACATTACGCATAGTTTGATAGAAATATACAGTGATTCATATAGGAGCAATATACATTTTTTACTTTTCAAATGTAGTTTTCTCTAGTCTCACAGAAAAGGTAATTCTTTCCATTACATAGATTTCGTAAACAATGTCATACCATGCCTCTATAGATGGGTCATTTGGTTTAAGCCATTTCTTTGTAATTATTTACAGATGTTGAATGTAGAAAACCAAAGAGAAGTTTGTCCCAATTAAAAGCAATTTTCGTTCCAAATATCATCACTAATTCTGTGTAGACCTTACCCCATAAAACATTTACAATTGGACAGGCCCAGAACAAGTGGTAATGGTTTGCTTCCTGAGAACCACATTTTCTCCAGCAACTGGAGGAACCTGAGTGATGAGACTGCTGAACAGGTGAAATAAAATATCTACTGAGCCAAACACTCTCCAAGAGATTGAGCTTGATATCTTGCATTGAAATTCACAATATTTGGTCCAGACTTCCTCTTTGATGCAACTGTTGTTTCGCTTTCCCATTTTTGTTTAATGTAGATGTTACTATTCGTCTTAACTACTTGGAGTCCCTTATAAAATCTTTTTAATTATTATTTTAAGCCCTGAGTCCGCTCTGTAGGCACTAATAAACATTTTTAACAATTCATTCTCAAATACTTTTTGGCTCTCCGGAATATAACTATTAATGTGATGACGAACCTGAAGAAATCTAAAGTAGCAGCCATATATGATTTGAGCGTTTTAATGGACCCTAAACCTAAACTAAATTATAATTCATTTGAAAGCCTTGTTCTTAGTCTTTCTCACCCATCCTGGAAACCACAGCAGCCAGTTCTATTTGTTATTTGTTAGTAACGCATTTATCTCATTAATAGACTCAATTGGCTTCTGTCAGAGTGTAAATAAACCAACTCATTGTTTTAATCACACTCTTGACCTTGTTCTATCATATGGCATTGATATTGAACATTTAATAGTCTTCCCACATAATCCTTTCCTATCTGACCATTATTTAATAACTTTTGAATTCATACTATTAGATTATAAGCCATTAGGCAAAACTTCCTACAGCAGATGTCTATCTGACAGTGCTGTAGCTAAATTTAAGGAGGAGATTCCTTCAGTGTTTAATTCAATGCCATGTCTGAATTTAACAGAGTCCTATAACGACTTTAGTCCCTCTCAAATTGATAATCTTGTCGATAGTGCTACAGGCTCACTACGATCAACATTAGACTCTATCGCTCCTAAAAAAAGGAAATTATTAAAACATAGGAGACTAGCACCTTGGTACAACCACCAAACCCGCCAGTTAAAGCAAATAGCTAGGAAATCTGAAAGGAAATGGCGCTCTTCCAAATTATCAGAATATCGCTCAATTTGGCAAGATGATCTTAAAACTTATAGAAAGGCCCTCCGTAATGCCAGAGGAGCCTATTACTCAGCACTAATAGAAGAAAATAAGAATAACCCTAGCTTCCTCTTCAGCACTGTAGCCAGGCTGACAGAGAGTCACAGCTCTATTGAGCCACATATCCCCATAAACTTAAGTAGCAATGACTTCATGAGCTTCTTCTATTATAAAATTATTACTATTAGAGAGAAAATTAATCACCAACTGCCATCAACAGTTATCAGTGGCTCTCCAAGTTCAGGGACTTCTGTCAATGTAAACTTAGATATATATTTAGACTGTTTTTCTGCTATCGATCTTCATCAGTTAACTTCAATCATTTCTTCATCGAAGCCATCAACCTGTCTATTAGACCCGATCCCAACTAGGCTGCTTAAAGAAGTTGTTCCCTTAATTGGCACTTCTTTACTGGATATGATTAATCTTTCTTTATTATCAGGATATGTACCACAGTCCTTTAAAGTAGCTGTAATTAAACCCCTTCTTAAAAAGCCCACTCTTGACCCAGGGGTTTTAGCCAACTATAGACCGATCTCTAACGTCCCCTTCCTCTCTAAGATTCTGGAGAAAGTAGTCGTCAAAGAGTTGTGTGACTTTCTACATAACAATAGTTTATTTGAGGATTTTCAGTCAGGATTTAGAGTTCATCACAGCACAGAGACAGCTCTGGTTAAAGTTAATAATGACCTTCTGACTGCTTCTGACAATGGACTTGTCTCTGTACTTGTATTATTAGATCTTAGTGCTCCATTTGACACCATTGACCATGATATTCTTTTACAGAGACTTGAGCATCAAATTGGCATTAAAGGAACTGCACTAAGCTGGTTTAAGTCATATTTATCAGATCGTTCGCAGTTTGTACATGTTAACGATGAATCTTCAATAAATACTACAGTTAGTCATGGAGTTCCACAAGGTTCTGTACGTGGACCAATACTATTTACTTTATATATGCTCCCTTTAGGCAACATTATTAGGAATCGCTACATTAACTTTCACTGTTATGCAGATGATACGCAGTTATATCTATCGATCAAGCCCGATGAAATTAATCAATTATCTAAATTACAAATATGTCTTAAGGACATAAAATCCTGCATGAGCTGCAATTTTCTGATGTTAAACTCAGAAAAAAATGAAAATCTTGTTCTTGGCCCCAAAAACCTTAGAGACTCACTGTCTAAAGATATAGTTACTCTAGATGGCATTAACTTGGCCTCTAGCACCACTGTCAGGAATCTTGGAGTTATCTTTGATCAGGATTTGTCTTTTAACTCCCACATGAAGAAGACCTCTAGGACTGCCTTCTTTCATTTACGTAATATTACAAAAGAGACACTATAAGCCTAGACTATCGGGGGATTTCCCATGGTGCACTGAGCTCCTCTCTTCCTCTCTCTTTCTGCACTCATTCATGTTCCATTAATGCATGTTACTAACTTCACTTCTTCCCCGGAGTTCTTGTGCTTTCTCGTCTCGCAGGTTCTTATCGATCCTGGTGGAGCCTCCTGCCATGGTCCTGCTAGATTGCCATTGCCAATACTGTTGTTGCTGTGCACCTGTCTGTCTGTCTGTCTGTCTCTCGCTCTCTCTCTCTCTGTCTATCTGTCTTTCTCTCTCTCTCTCTCTCTCTCTCTCTCTCTCTGTCTCTCTGTCTCTCTCTCTCTCTCTCACCCCAACTGGTCGAGACAGACGACCACCCACCTAGAGCCGGAGGATCTGTCCTAGGTTTCTGCCTTTTAACAGGCAGTTTTTCCTTGCCCTTGTCGCCAAGTGCTTGCTCATGGTGGTACTGTTGGGTCTCTGTAAATAATGTTTTAAAGAGTTCGGTCTAGACCTAGTCTATTTGAAAAGTGTCCTGAGATAACGTCTGTTGAATTGGCGCTATACAAATAAAATTGAATTGAAATTGAATTGAATTGAATCAAAGAAGTCACTATTGTTTAAACCATGTAGTCTCTTTAATGCGTCAAAACTGTTCACTGTCCTCTGATTAAAAAAGGTGCAGTATGAGAAGAGACCCAGATTAACCCATTTTTTATAGTTAATATCTAGTTTATTTGGGGTTGTGTCGCCTTTAAGGCTTTTTCTCCTTTAGATAATTTGTTGATATTTCATTTTAGTTGGAAACAAGAAGTGAATGAATACTTTAAAGTTTAACAAATTTATTTGTAAATTTATAACTTTATTATGTGCTTGTTTCATGTTACGACATCACATCCTGCTTAGTCACTTCCTCTTTGGTCACTTCCTGTTTATCTGATTGGCAGGAAAGGAGGGTAAACATGTTTTTTATGCTCTGAACCACAATCTGTTCGCATCCACTCTGAAGTATCATAAAGGCAATGCCGTAAGTTGATGGATTTTACATTAGACATGTTAAAGTTCATATATTAGCAGTGATTTCATAAAAAATTATACTTGATAAGTTAATTTAAAAACGTTTTTATTTACAATTATATACAAGCCAACAGCAATGTTACTAGTCTTTATAACTGTATCTACAGTGCAGTACAGCAATGTGTATTCATATATATAGCTGTGTATGTTGAAATATTTAGTTAAAATATTTTTGTATTGCTTTTATTTGCAGTTTCATCAGCATGTTAATGAAGAAGTGTGACAGTAAATGGTCAAACTTACAACGACTCTGTCTTCATTGGCTACGGTTTAACTTGGTGTTTAGTCAGAGTTTCAACACCCTGCACGAGAACACTACAGGGGTCATGTGAGCACCATCTCAAAATCTTTATTTCTTCCCGCAAGCCGCTTTTACTTACAACAGCTAGCCAGGTTTTAAGACTTAAATAATCCATTTATTATTTATTTCCATTAAGTTTCTAATCCATCTTTCATCCCCTATCCTCACCTGAATTGGTATATTCCCTGATATTCTTTCTTCAATTTCTTTCCATCTCGCCTGGTATTCAGAGTTGCACCAACAAAACAAGATCCTCAATTGGGCTGAAATATAATCTTTTAGGCATGGGAGTGCAAGTACTCCTTTATACTTCGATAATTGGAGAGTTTGAAATTTTATCCTTGGCTTTTCCCCCTGCCAGATAAATCTTGATAGTAATTTGTCCCATTCATTAAATTGTTTATCATTTATTTCAACTGGAAGAATCTGGAACAGATAAAGTATTCTTGGTAACATGAGGTCAAAGACTGTCGATCCTGTTTAGCTTTCCTCAACCTGTCTGTTCAGACAAAAGGCTTCTTCAATCACACCTCTTCCTCTTTACACAGCTGATCAAAGTCTGAGTTAATCAGAACAGATAAATTGTAATAATAAATTCAAAATGACTCTTCTGATACTTAAACAAACCATAACATATATATCTCATCAGCTAAATAAATTATCTACACTCTAAAATAATTAAATACAAAAATTGGCTCCAACATTCCAGCTCCTAATTGCTTGAATCTTAAATGTAGCAATTACAAATAACTTAAATACAGCCAATTTTAAATGCATATATCCTTTTTCATACTAACAAAAAATGTCCATTCTTTTAACTATTCTTCAGACTCCAGGAGTAGGCAAAGTTTGTTGACAGGTCTCTGTAGGATGCTAGTTTTAGTTTGAACCAAGACACTGCAAACCAGTCCTTTGCTTCCTGGAAAAGTCTGTAAAATCCGTCCTAAGACACAGGAGTTTCTTGGAACAGAGTCATCTACAATCATGACAAGGTCTCCGGGTTGAAAATTCCTTTTGGGGTTATTACATTTGTTCCTTCTTTGCATGATAGGGAGGTATTCTCTGACCCACCTCCTCCAAAAGAGATCTGCCAGATATTGCACCTGTCTCCATCTTCTCCTGGAGTACAGGGCTTCCTTATTGAACAGTCCAGGAGGCATGATGGGTTTTGTTTTAAGAAGAAGCAGATGATTGGGTGTTAAAGGTTCCACATCATTCAAGTCATTTGTTACAGATGTGATGGGTCTATCATTCATTATTGCTTCCATTTCACATAAGGCTGTTTGCAAAGTCTCATCATCCAGGCCTTATTCTTTTATCACAGAACAGAGGATCTTTTTGAGTGACTTTATAAGTCTCTCCCATACACCACCGTGATGAGCACCTGATGCTGGGTTAAAAAATCCACTTTATACCACCAAGGTTTCTTTGGATTTTGCATTGACTTAATTCTTTCCATGATTGTTCAAGCTCCCTTTCTGCACCAATAACGTTTGTACCTTGATCTGATTTAATCATTTTTTACAGTACCTCTACGGCAAAGGAATCTGCGTATTGCATTGATGCAGGAGTTAGTGTCCAAGCTGCTGGCTACTTCAAGATGAACTGCACGGCTGGTTAGGCAAGTGAAAATTACACCCCACCTTTTAACATTGGTTCGACCTCGTCTTATCACAAAAGGTCCAAAATAATCCACACCAACTGAAGTGAAAGGTGGTAAATCTGGTATCACACGATCTTGAGGGAGATCTGCCATCTTCTGCTCTCTTACTGTGGACTGCATTCTTCTACAGAAAAAACAGTTTCTGATTATTCTACGGGCCGAAGAGTTTGCAGAGGGCATCCAGTACTTTTGTCCCATTTTAGATAGCATGAGATTTCTACCAGAATGGCCAACTTGGATGTGTATGTGTCTTAGAATGATCTCTGATATGTGGGATTTTTTGGGCAAGATTATGGGATTCTTAATGCTTACTGGCATGGCTGATCTGTTGATTCTTCCTCCCACTCTCAGGATACCTTGGTCGAGGATTGGATCAATTTTCAGTATGGAGCTGTCTTTCGTGCAGGGTTTTACTCTTTCAAGGAGAGCAATGTCCTGTTTAAAGTGTTGCTGCTGTTCAAATACCAATATGGCTCTTTCAGCATTTTCCATATCCTCCACAGTTCGGAGCGACCAGTGCGCTCTCTCAATATGTAGCGCAGTAGTGGGGGGGAGCTCCAGACCCTTCATTAATAAATCTTCCAAAAAAGAAATCATTGTGCCGACATTATCTTCAGCTCCTTCTTTTACCCCATGTAGCCTGATGTTATCACGTCTTGAATGTCCCTCCACTTCAGTCAATTTAGCATCCATCTGCTCCTGAAGTTTCGCCAGCTGCGCCAATACATCCTCCGTTGACTAGATCCGTGTCTCTGCCGTAGTGATCCGCTCCTCGGTTTCTTCCACTCTTTTGTTCATTTTGTTAATATCTTCTTTAATGCTGTTACAAATTACAAAATTACAAACATGTCTTAAGGACATAAAATCCTGGATGAGCTGCAATTTTCTGATGTTAAACTCAGAAAAAAACAAAATTCTTGTACTTGGCCCCAAAAACCTTAGAGACTCACTGTCTAAAGATATAGTTACTCTAGATGGTATTACCTTGGCCTCTAGCACCACTGTCAGGAATCTTGGAGTTATCTTTAAATTTGTCATTTAATTCCCACATAAAGCAAACCTCTAGGACTGCATTCTTTCATTTACATAATATTACAAAAATTAGACACATCCTATCACAGACAGATGCAGAAAAACTAATCCATGCATTTGTTACTTCTAGGCAGGATTACTGCAACTCTTTATTATCAGGTTGCCCCAATAAGTCCATTAAAATGCTCCAATTAATTCAGAACACTGCAGCACGAGTACTGACAGGAACTAGAAAAAGAGATCACATCTCTCCTGTACTAGCTTCTCTGCATTGGCTCCCTGTAAAATGTAGAATAGAATTTAAAATCCTCCTCCTCACCTATAAAGCTCTTCATGGTCAGGCCCCTTCATATCTTAAAGAGCTCATAGTACCCTATTACCCCACTAGAACACTACGTTCTCTGAATGCTGGGCTACTTGTGGTTCCTATAGTCTCTAAAAGTAGAACAGGAGCCAGAGCCTTCAGTTACCAAGCTCCTCTCCTGTGGAACCAGCTTCTAGTTGTCGTTCAGGAGGAAGACACCCTCACCACATTCAAGAGTAGGCTTAAGACATTCCTCTTTGATAAAGCTTATAGTTAGGGCTGGATCAGGTGAGTCCTGAACCATCCCTTAGTTATGCTGCTATAGGCTTAGACTATCGGGGGATTTCCCATGGTGCACTGAGCTCCTCTCTTCCTCTCTCTTTCTGCACCCATTTATGTCCCATTAATGCATGTTACTAACTTCACTTCTTCCCTGGAGTTCTTGTGCTTTTTTGTCTTGCAGGTTCTCATGGATCCTGATGGAGCCTCCTGCCATGGTCCTGCTTGACTGCCATTGCTTATATAACTGATATTACTGTTATTATTATTATTATAAGTATTATTATTGCTACGGTTACTGTTGTTGCTGTTGTCACTGCTCATTGTCCCCCATCGTTGCTTTTGTCATGTTCATCATCATCAGTCACTACTATTAGTGTAGTTGTTGCTACTGTTGTTGCTGTGCGACTGTCTGTCTCTCTCTCTGTGTGTCTCTCTCTCTCTCTCTCTCTCTCTCTCTCTGTCTCTCTCTCACCCCAACTGGTCGAGGCAGACGACCACCCACCCCCCCGTCGCCAAGGTCTTGCTCATGGTGGTACTGTTGGGTCTCTGTAATTAATGTTATAAGGAGTTCAGTCTAGACCTGCTCTATTTGAAAAGTGTCTTGAGATTACTTCTGTTATGAATTGGCGCTATACAAATAAAATTTAATTGAATTGTTTAATTGCTGAGTGGAGTCTCTCCTGAATTCTCACAGCTGTTTTAGAATAACACCTAGGCGTACGTCGTGGCTTAGCTCCGAGTCCGTGTCCACGTGCTCATCTTTTTCCATATTGCTGCTAGCTTGCGATAGCTTATCATCCTCTTCTTCGTCAAGGTTTCTACTTTTAGCGTGTTTCTTCTTGTCTTTTTTGGGCATTATTTTAGGCATTGTTTACCCGTAATATCAAACCTTGCTTTAGCGCCTCTCTACTGAAATTCGAGTTATATCGGGCAACTTTTAATTATTATTATTATCGGGACCTGTCGCTCTATGCTGCCATCACGTAGTCCGCCAGACCAGAAGTCTTGATAAAGAGCAATTTCATCACCTCACCTTAGCACATTGCTGGCTACTTTTCCCTGACTAATTCTGACTGATCATCTGATGTAAGACACAAACAGTTTGCTGAGTCAGTGTTTATCAACCGTGGTTGGTGTCAGACAGTCAGAGAAAAAGCTCTTCTTTCAGAAGTCTGCAGCGGAAAAAGACCTCTCCATACCTGAGAGTGTCCAGTCTCCACTGTGGATCCTCCAGTGCAGCAGACAGTAGCTTTACTCCTGAGTCTCCTGGATGATTGTAGCTCAGGTCCAGCTCTCTCAGATGGGAGGGGTTGGAGCTCAGAGCTGAGGCCAGAGAAACACAGCCTTCCTCTGTGATCAGACAGCTTGACAGACTGAAAAACACACAAAACAACACAAACTAAGAGTGCTATGAAGGTTACAACAGTACTGAAGCCTACTGTGGTATTGAGTTAATTCCTTCTATCATCACATGGTATTACCCTGGTATTATGTACCCAGCCGCTCTGTTGTCTCCTGTTGGCACCCTACTACTCATGAAGCAGCGCATCCTCCACTAGAACATTGCTTTTTAGACTACTTGGACCTTTGAATATGAAGATCCTGCCCTTTTCCTTAAGGTTCATGGTTTGCATGCTGCTAATGAGAGTAAACATGGTTACAAACTCAAAGCCTGCCAGCTGACTTTACAAGGACAAGCAAAGGACATTAGCACTGAGCTGCTAACTACTAACTCTGCAAGGAAACAAGGCACAGAATGAACCAGCTTTCTCCGACCTGCACAAGCAAAGACATCAGAACCACAACTTTTCCCTGGCCTGGTTTACAGGATCACCAGTTAACAATGTTCTTCATATTCATATAGCATAACAGTTTTCATAGCTAAACATAGGACTGTTAGACTTAATTCTTAATTCTGTTTAACACACTGTTAACCCTTTAAGCGCCAAAGTCTCAAAATTGTGACAGGACATGGTACTGAATCAAACAGCTGTTTTCTCCTAATAGTGTTATATGTTGTTCATACGCCCCTCCACTAGTTGGCAGACATCCCATACTTAGACCTTAGCTCAGAAAAACGTCATGTTTCAATGCAAAATGTTCAAGGAAGTCCCATCCAAACTGTTGGGTGAGAAACCGGAAATAGTGTGCCACGGCGCTATTTATGCTGAAGCGGTATTGCTGGATTATTATTATTATTATTGTTATTGAGACAAAATAAACGAAAATGGCAAGCAAAAAGTTGACGCTTAGGGAAGTGATGGGTCTCCTTTTCACTGATCCTAATTCTGAAGGGGAAAATCTACCTTTGGGAGATGACAGCCGGTCGTTTAGTGAGCGTGATAGTCACAGTGATTCCACACTCTACAAATACTACAAACTTTTATCTGGATAGATGGGCACAGATTAGGCCTCTGCAGCTAAAAGATGCCTACTGTTATTATTATTATCATATAATAATAATAATAATAATAATAATGAAGAAGAAGAGAATAAAAAAGAAAAGAAAAAGTGTCCTCCAATAGGGGGAGATGGTGGTGGGTAAAAAAATCATAAAAAACGCCTACTGTTTACATGAGTTTTGTGGTACTAATAGTTCTAGTTTACGACTGTTGGCTTACAATTTACTTTTACCTGTTCATTTGATATGTGGACAACATAACGAAATTAGATTAACACAGGCGCCAGGTTTTATTTTTAAAAATACTAGATTTTGACATCTAAATTTCAGGAGGCTCTGTCTTGAAAGTGGTATGAGATAGAGACAAAGTGTAAATGAGACAAATATTGAGAATGACCTAAAGTTTATCAAGGGAGTAAATGTCCCCATCTAATTTGCATATTATGACATCATATGGTGACGGCCATATTGGACTATATAATTTCCATGAAATACCTGATATTTTGAAAGAGAGTTGAACTTATTTCATCAGATTCACCCCCCTCCATCCATTTGTTATGTTGTCCACATATCAAATGAACAGGTAAAAGTAAATTGTAAGCCAACAGTCGTAAACTAGAACTATTAATACCACAAAACTCATGTGAACAGTAGGCGTTTTTATGATTTTTTATGATTTTCCCAATGCCAGCCACTCCCTTTGTCATCACTGTTCTGATTGGTTCATCGCTTCCAGGTGAGGGTTTAAGGAGGTCTTCTTGTCTGATTGTTGTTTCTGGTCTGTGTGGTTTCCTGGATGCTGTTTCAATCTGTCTGACCTCATGTTCATCATTGACCTCTGCAGTCCCTCCCTCTGTGATGTAGAGCTCTGTGTAGATCTGGTTCAGAAGGGTTGGGTTTCCTGCTTTGGCAATGCCCTCAAACACACACTGGAACTTCTTCTTCAGGTTTAAATTCATGCTGGAAACAAACTGGATTTCCTGAATGAACACACAAGAAAATATTTTAACATTTTATTTCCTTAAAGAATGAGTATGTGGATATATTTTGGTCCATCTGTTGAGACATCAGTAAATATCTCATTTATCCAGCGAGGTAAATCTTTAGAGAGATCCTCTTACTGCTCTGCAGACAGTCGGCCAGCTCCTCCTGCTTCATTCTCCTCAGGAAGTGCAGTGTGATCTTCAGAAATGCCTCTCTGCTGCTCCTCCTCTGCTCTTCACCCTCACTGTCCAACACCTCCTCATCCTGCCTCTGACTCTCTAAGCATTCTGGGTAATCTGAACTCAGAACCTTCTGGATCTTCTTCAGCTCGTTCTTCACAAAAGTGACAATGTTGTCCTCCAGCAGCTGGAACAGAATATTATATGAATGACTCAATCAAAGTCAAATCATGAAAGCAAACATCAGATCCATGTTGGACAGACTGACAATCCACTGGTCTAAAAAGTGCAGCATGGAGATTATTGTGAACACAATAGATGTAAAAGTAGTTGTTGTCCATGTACAGACCATAAATATGGAGTCCAAGTGTCTTTGATGCTGCTGGGACTGACCACGGGGAACCTCTGAGCTCTCCTGGTCCACTCTGTGGAGGAATCATGAAGAATGAGCTCACATTATGTCTGTCCACACAGAGACAAACACAAGGTAAAGGTCCATGAAGTGATATTTGGATGTGAACAGTGAATCTGATGACTCCCTGTAGTGGTAAAGGTTTACTAGTCCTGCTGATCCCACTGAGAATCAACAGCTCAGTTTGGTTCAGTCCCAACAGCTCTCACCAACCCCTCCATATAGCTCTCCCTCCCTCACTGTCCACGGCTGAAGTGCCCTGGAGCAAGGCACCTAGAACCTCCAGCTGTTCCAGTGGAGCTGCTCAGTGTCTGCTTGTATCAGACTGGTTGTACTGGGCAGCTCCCAGTGTGAATGTGTTTGACACATTAGTAGTAGAGTTTTCTGCTCTTTCTACTGAACTAAACTAACAAGATGAACAAAGAGTCATTGAGGAGTCAAACAGTGAAAAGTGTCTCTTACAAACCTTCACATGGACAGAAGAAGAAGCTGCGACCCGACGAGCTCACAAAGTGAAAATTTACTGTGGACAGGAAGTCACGGTTGTCAGGGCAACGGAAGGTTTGTTGATGAAACTTAATAAAACAAAATCCTTTACTTTTACTTCATCTTGTGATGAAGGAAGAAAAAGGAAAAGAAAAGAAAAAGAAATACTAACACAGTTCAGCAAACAAAACACAAATATAATCAACAAAGATGTCGTAGCTCCACACAGAGGAATCAATAGTCCTAATAAACTAAATGAGTGTAAAAGGAACTAATGATCATTATGTCAGTACATACTGGGAATCCAAAGTGAGTCATTACAGGAGCCCATCGGTTAAACAACATATCTATCTTCACATGAAGTTCTGCTGTAATGTTTTCTATTAAATACTTTCATTAACCTGTCTTACCATTGATGTACAATAGGTGGCAGTGTTTGAGCCACCATAAAAAGGATGTGCAACAGGTAAGCCTTACTCTCTTTTATTATTGCACAATATAAAACAATGCTTATAGTGGTAAATCAATATTCATAATGGCACATATTTCTGTATCAATCCCTTCCCAGTAGGATTTTCATTTAAAAAACTAAAAATATGTGTGTGACCACCAACCTTCTTACAGTCCCTCCAGCACAAAACTGTTTTACTTCTGATCCAATGAGAGCAGTTTTAAAATACCTCATTCTTCATTTCCAGCTGAATTCTTTCCATAGTGGCCTATTAGTTACTTTATGTCCTCCTCACACACTTCTTCCCATGTTTCATCTTTAATGATGACATTCAGTTTTCTTTTATATCCAGAGTATTCCCTGACATTTGTGATTACAAACATTTATTTTTGTGCTACTCTTTTCTTCCACAATCTTTATTAGAGTTAAAGTTCTATGGGAGTAGCTGGTTGCATAAGAGAGTTCCACTCCCTATTTGACATTAAATAATTCCTCAATTGTAAATATCTGTACAAATCTTTAGAGCAGAGGTGTCAAACTCATTTTGGTTCAGGGGCCACATACAACCCAATTTGACCTTAAGTGGGCCGGACCAGTAAAATTAAGGCATAATTACCTATAAATAGCAACAACCCCTAATTTTTCTCTTTGTTTTAGTGCAAAGAAATAGAAATACATTCTGAAAATGTTCACAAAACAATATGAACAACCTGAATTTTCTTAAGGAAAATAAGTGCAATTTCAACAA